GCGGGGCCCGCATCCGGGCAGCAGCTCGGTGGCCAGCAGGAGCACCGCAGGGTGGCCGCGCCACTCACAATCTGAACGTTCAGCAGAACTGCCGTTTCTCCTCAGCCTATTTCATTTTCCCCTAAATTGCCAACCATTTCTCCCAAGCCTCTGAACCGCCTCACCCACAGGACCAGCCCCGCGGTGTCTTTTCCACAAGGCTTCCTCCTTCCTCGTTTTTGGTCCCATTGCTTTTGATTTTAATTCCTTTACATGAAACACAAGCTGTGGCTTTGTGTGGGATGGGCTGTGCTTCATCTCAGTACTCCTAAATTCAGTGGCTGCCAGATTTGACTCACGAGCTGATAGCAGGGTGACAGGGCATCAGCTGCTCTCCCAAAGAGGGTAGAATAAAGCCGAGCCAGGGTGAAGCCAGGGAGGGGATCTGCTGCTGGAGCCTCCTCCCCTGCCCATCCCTATTGCTGGTCCTCAGCAGAGGTACGGCCGTCGGCGAGGGAGAGCCTCTCCCCGCTGCTGGGCACCCAGCACCACCGCCCCGTGCCTGTATTCCCCACGGCCCCGGCGGAGCGGAGCCGAAGCCTGCGTGTCCCTGGGTGCCGTGTGAGCCAGACATGCCACCGTGCCGTGCCCGAGGTCCTGCCGCCAGGTACCGGAGGACAGCTCAGCTCCACCGCTGGGCCCAGCCTGCAGCTGACAAATTTGCTGGTGCTCTGGCAAGGCTGCGAGTTCGTGCGCTTTAACAGGAAGGATGAGTCAGGGGACAGACTCTGTTCAGAGTCAGGAGAAAAAGCAGAAATCTCCCACTTTGGGCATTTAAGATGGCTGTTTGAGGAGCCGCTTTGCTGTGGCAAGGAGACCCGGGGTCCTGTGCCTCTGTGCCTGCCAAGCCAGGGACTGCTCTGAAGCTTTCTGAGGCTGTCCAGAGCACTCTCGGTTTCTCTTGCTCTTTTTAGCTGTGCCCTTTCCACTAATTCCACAGTGGGAAATTCCTCGTCTCGAGACAAATTGCTCTCCATCACATGAGGGCCCCTGGGTTTGCACAGGCCCCAGGAAAGCCCTCAAGCAAGCTCTGTTGCAATTCAGCCTGCCAGAAGGCAAAGCAGAGGACTCGCAGTCCGCTCGGTGGTAATTCAGGTCCTAGCACCTGAGACCAGCATCACCAGACAGGTAGGGCATCGCCGTGGGGCCAGAGCCCCGCAGCCACTCGCATCAGCCTGTAGCAGGGCCCCGGGTCTGGCCGACAGCTGCCAGAGCCCCAGGGACGGCTTACGGCCCCCTCCGCCGCACCCGACTTCAGAGCTTGCGATGCCACCCATGCGCGTAGGTGTTTGCGGGTCACATAAGAGGCCAGAGGCTGTCACTCGACCCCAGAAACGGGGAAAGGCGAATTGCAGACTTTGGGCTGAGCCCAAAGGAAGGGAAAGCAAGAACCCCCTCCTGGGGCTCCAGGGCTCCCCAGGGCTGGCTACGACCTGGCCGGCTTTAGCCACTGGCAGGACAGGACATTGACCCAAGGGGACACTGCTGGGCAGGTCCTGTGCTCAGCAAAATCCCTGTGCCGGGTCATCCTAGGTGCTAACGCTCGCCCCCTGTGCTGTGCTTTTAACATCTCGTTTAATAATGAAGCAGCAAAGGCAGGCACGTGATTTACTCTTATTTTTCCCTTCTCAGCGGTGTACCGTTTTGTTCAGAAAAGCCCCCAAAGCTCTTCCTTTAAGGCTGCTTGTAGGAAATGCCCAGCCTGGGCTGAGAGATTAGCTGCGTGTGAGTGGGTGGACAGTAAAGAAAAGTGGAAGTCGCTACACAGCTACTTTCCTCCCACTGCGCTAACACCTCCAAGACGTCACTGAGCCAGCCTCCAGGGGAAAAACAAGCATTCGGCAGCCCGACGGAGCAGAGCTCGGCACCCTGCTCGCCCAGCCTAGCGCCCGCAGAGGATGCGCAGCCGGCATGGCCCCCTCCTCCACAGCCCTGGCACTGTGCGTGGCACTGCTCCTGGCCCGGAGGACTGACGGTGAGTCTCTCTTGCCCACAGCACGCCGGTCTTCAGCTACCCGCTCGCTGTGTCGGAGCCCCACGGCTCCCGGCAGGCTGCTCTGCTCCCCTCCGCACCCAAGATCCCGGCACGGGGGAAGGCCCGCAGGGCAGGCGGAGAGCGGAGCTGCTGCGCTTTGGAGCTGCAGCTTGGACACCTTTGCTGGCTGAGCAGAGCTCAGGCTGGCAGGGCCCGCAGGCTCCTGCCTGCTCGGAGCAGGACACGGCCAGGGCTCCCTGCTCACCACTCGCCTTTCTTCACTGTTTGGGAGCCTAAAGGCTGCAGTAGTCTTCAGGCGTCAGCCTTGCTTATCTCCACCAGCGTGGACCACGGTGCTTTGTGTCGCAGTGAAATGCCCCGGTCGCTAGCGCGGTGCTCTGCTGACAGCCGTCCTCCCCAGGCAGGGGCACGGCTTCGTGGTTGCTGGCAGGCAGCAGCTGCTGAGGACACCAGCACAGAAAGGGTGGCAGATGTTATCTAACGATGTTTTGCCACCAGGTGACAAGACCGAAATTCAGGCAGGAGGTGTGAAAAAGTCTGTTTCTTCCAGACAGCAGATAAGCAAAACAGAAAGCTGAATCCAAACAGAGCTGCTAGCAAACGGCAGGGGCGGTCAGAGATGCAAATACAGCAGGCTCCTTTCCAGGGCCAGAAAAGCACCGAGATCCTCTCGGCTGGGCTGAGCTGGGCTCTCCCCAGAAGAGAGAGGAAGGGAGAGGGGGGGACGAGCAAACACTGAAACTTGGAAGTGGGACAGGCCTGGGCAAACCCTTGCGCTTTTCGGGTGGGTGGGCGGTCACTGCTGAACGCAGGGGGTCAAGCTCCAGCTGAGCCATCGAGGAGGCAATCGCAAGGAGCTCTGCCCAGCTTCTGAGGGCACCAGCGGGACGGGATGCCGTGCAGCCTCGCCTCACGCTCACCTGCGGCCCGGCAGGTGAGAAGGTGGGGAGCCCCACGCACGTGCGCTTTGCTGCGGAGATAGCGCATCACCTGCTGCGGTGGGAGCAGGCGCACAACCCCCCCGGTGACGTCCGCTACGAAGTGCAGCACAGAGTGTGAGTACAGCGGTGGGGGCGCAAGGGGGTTCGCCCCCTGCCCGGGATCTGATACCAACAGCGGTGACAACCGAGTCCCTGGCACCTGCCCGCACTGCTCTCACCCCAGGCACTTCTCCCTGCAGCTATGGCACGAATTCCTCCTGGACAGCCATCCCAAACTGCATGAAGATCTCGGGGCACTCCTGCGACCTCACGTACTACACCCTGGATCCTGCCCTGCGCTACTACGCGCGGGTCAGGGCCGTGTCTGGAAACCACACGTCCCCGTGGCAAAGGACCAACTCTTTCTCCCCGCGAGATGGTAGGTCGGGTGTCTGCCTCCACCCTGCGGCTGGGGGCAGGAGGCTCCGAGGATGGCAGAGGTCAGGGTGCCAAACTGCTTGGGAAGAACTCTAGGACAGATGAGAGCGGGGATGTCTCTCTCTTCATACCTTACTGGAAGGCAGCCGGGCTGCGGGATGGGATGGGACAAACCTAGGACAGGCGGCACTGGCCGCGGGGAACAGTCACAGCTCAATCCACTGCTGCAAAGGCTCTCACAGCTGCAAACAGGAGAAAACCCTAACGTGCTCTTCCAACTGACTTGTTTCCAGCCAGCCTGCGCCTGTCGGGCCAGAGCCTCTCGGTGACCGGCAACACTGTCCACGTGCAGCTGCAGCTGCTCTTTAGGGTGGGGAACCTCACCGTGAAATACGACGACATACAGAAGAACCTGATGCAATACCGGGTGTACGTCAGGAGGGCACAGGACAATCAGACGGTGAGATGAGTTGCTGGTCCCATGCTGTCCCCATCTGTCACACACAGTGCTGCTTAAGTTGAAAAACACATTTTTAAAGTACAGTCTTCTGTAAAACTTAATATTGAGCTTTCTCACAGCCACAACATCGCAGAGAGATTTCTCTGAACGTTCTACTGCAGTAGGTTCCCCAACTCTTGTTGGGATTTTGGGTCTAGCTGCTGTCAGCGGTATTGCTAAGCACCCTGGGGACTTTCCCCAGGGGACAGTGGAGGAGGAGGGAGGAAAGCACTGGGCCCAGCACTCCTGCAGGAGCTGGGGGCTCTCAGGTACCAGCCCGCGCTCTGGTCATTGCAGTACGAAGTAGTGGAGAACGCCCTGGAGTTCAACATCAGCAACCTCTTCTGGGACACGGAGTACTGCATCAGCGTGAAGCCCGACATGGCCAACCGGCGCATCCACGCCACGCACACCAACGAGCAGTGTGTCACCATCGTCAAGAGGGACAGTAAGTGGCAGGGGAGCCAGGGAAGGGGGGGCCTTGCGGGACGCAGATCCTCCTCAGCCTCCTGTGGAGGTGCAGTCCGCACCAGGGCAGCCGCTCCGTGTCCCCGCTGCAGTGCCTTCGTGCTATGTGCACCCAGAACTCTGCCTTTCCCCGCTCACCTGGGCACATCCTCTCTTGCAGGGAGCGCAAAGCTCGTCCTGAGCATCGTCAGCTCCTCCTTCATCATCCTGTTGCTCTTGGGCCTCCTGGGGGCTCTGCTGGTGTGCACCTACATAAAGAAACCCATGAGGCCGCCGTCCGTCCTGGTAAGGCAGCCGGGCACGCAGCACCCTTTGCAGCCGGCGCGAGGGTGCAGGTTTGGGTAGCTGTTGAGAGAGGCAGGCAACAAGCAGGGACAAAGCACGGCTCATTCCCCTCTTTTCTCTCCCTCCCAGAAGACTTTCATAAAGCAGAGCTCGCTCTGGGTGGAGCAGGATTCCTCGTCCTCGGGCAGCCCAGACACAGACCCCGTCCAGCAGCTGTTCCTGTGCCAGAAGGAGCCCCAGCAGCACAGTGGCTCCGACGGCAG